TTGCCAATTGAATGAGTATTTTTACTCTTAAATAAGATAATTAGATAATATACACTTGAAATAAGACAATGCAATTGTTTTTTTCTTATTTTAAGTGTAAATTGTCTTGTTCCATTGGCAAAGTGTCTCACTTAAATACTTAATTCAAGAAAAATGCACTTGTTTTAAGAAAAAAAGACTTATTTAGATGTAATTTGCAGTGTAATAACAAATAAACTAACAGGGAATTGTTTTATTACTTTACAATGAAGCAAGTAGTGAAGAATTGTGAAATCACTACATTTAAAACTCATTCCTACAATCTTAGCTCGACTTTTACCGTCTTTACATTCTGACCAACTTCCACAATAAGGGTTGGTTATATATTTTCAGGACCGTACATAATGTCTTTATTTCTACAAGGAAACGTTGCTAGGCCCCTTATTTCTGTACATAAACAAAACTTTAGTTGATTTTTTTTTGGTCTAATCTCTGATTTGAGGCCAAAGTTAAACACTTATAACGTGTGAACTAACAGCTTCTTTCACCCGCCTCCAAGAATATTAATTCAGCAAAAACAAAATGCGATAGAGGAAGTCGACGTATTTATCTTCTGCAGTCAAGCTGCATATTTTACATAACATCTAATGGTTTTCTGCTTTTTATATATTCCAACATAAGCAGTTTTTATTGAAAGACAATTAAATAACAGGCTTCATCTTTCACTTTTCTTTAGTTTAATGGTGAGTAAAACAAAAGTGGATTTCTCTGTTAAACCTGAAACTGATTCAGAAAACGTTCCTTTTTCTACTATTAAATAACCTAAAGGCTGGAGTGTTTCTTGTGAAGTTTCATCAAACCATTTTTCCATTTTAGGTTTTTAATAATGTTTGCAAACCATTTAAAACAGCCAATTATAACAAACAAAAAATTGCATTAACTCAAAATATGAACACTGGAAAAAATCAAAATCTAGACAAGTTGTTTTTTCTTAAAATAAGTGCATTTGTTCTTGAATTGAGAAGGTAAAAGAGACATTTTGCCAGTGGAACAAGACAATTTGCTTTTAAAATAAGAAAACACAATCGCATTGTCTTATTTCAAGTGCATTTTATCTAAATATCTTATATTAATAGTAAAAACACTAATTCCATTGGCAAACTATGTAATTTACCTACTCAAATTAAGGGTAAATACACTTAATTTAAGACATTTTTACTTATTTCTAGATCGTTTTTCCAGTGAAACATACCGTAAGTGGTGAGAGGGAGCTGTACACTGCAAAAAATGGAAATCTAAATAAGTAATTTTTGCTCAAATTAAGTGCATTTTTTCTTGAATTCGGGAGGTAAGTGAGACACTTTGCCAATGGAACAAGACAATTTACACTTAAAATAAGTAAAAACAATTGCTTTGTCTTATTTCAAGTGTATATTATCTAATTATCTTACTGTACGAGTAAAAATACTCATTCCATTGGCAAACTATCTCATTTACCTGCTCGAATTAAGGGTAAATACACTTAATTTAAGAAGTTTTTACTTATTTCTAGATGTTTTTTGCAGTGTACCAACTAATTAATTTAATATAAGGAAGATTAAACTGAAATATGGGTCGATTCCAGTCACCTGCTGAGCAATCTCTGAATTTTGGCCTTCAGTGTTCAAACTTTATCATTTGGTTGTTGGAATGTGAAAAGAAAAGTTATAAGGACTGAAAGTTTGAACAAAATGCCATCAGTTGACAGAGTAAATACCAATTATCATGACTTCATGTGATGCAGAAACCAAACGAGGCTGATCTGACCACAACGCCTGGTGCAGATAAAAAGGCAGGGAGGGACAGTTTGAAAATGTACTCCTACAATTCAAAGCAGCTGTCAAGCGGCTGCAGCTCAGCCTCTCGAGTGTTAAACCCTCAGCAAATAGTTTGCTCCAGCCCTGAAAGCAAGTTTCCCCCCCTCTTTTTTTTAATTAAAGTAACGCTTGTTGTTCAGACAGAAGTATCTCAGATCGCATCTCCTCCACGCTCTTGTTTGCAGCTCCTCCAGCTCTGCGACATCAAACTCCATATCTCTCGACGGGGCTTGGCTCTGTGATGGCCACGCCACAAAAACACCAGAGAATGACGGACAATTAAAGACCGAGAGGCGAAGGCTGGAAACAGTATAAAAAAAAA